GATCCTCAATGATATCAAGAAGAGAATTCTCTATGACCACTTTCGTTTTTGTGTATCTGATTTTATGAATCTGTGAGAAGCTGTCCAACACTGTGCAAAGTAGATAATGACACTCTCAAATTCTCTTGTAAATAGTTAATAGTTATTAGTTAATGTAGCTTAGAGGTTAACTGTTAATTTAGGATTTATTCATAATAGTAGCTTGTAGCTAATTTAGTAAATAGATTAAATGGCTAATATTAGCTTAGTCTCTTTTAGATTATCTTTGTTTAAGCTGCATATATTGTGACTTAGATTAATCAATTACCTTGGGCCAAGCCCACGAGCGTTTTGTGCCTTTTATTTTGTATATGGGTCGTTATTGAAAATAAACCCTTTTCAAAACTAAAAAAACGCAATTGGTTGTGCAAAGCTATTTCCAATGATGAGTAACATAATTACCCATGCCAATTCCCGTAATATGCTTGAAATTGATGAATTTTTCATTTTCTTAGGGAAAAATCAACTCTATAAGTTATTTTGACACTTAAAATCACTAACGTTATTGAATTTTAGCAAAACTGATCACAGTTTGGTAATGTTTAACTGGATTTTTAATGTAACCATGTTCCTTAGCGGGCGTGGTCTTTCATACAAATTATCAATTTGAGCTCACTGGTAACAAATAAAAGGTAAAAATGAAACATTTTGACCCTAAAATAGATATGCTGTACTACATTGAGGCTAGTATCTCCTCATGGAGATCACTGGCACCCTAAACACTGATTTTCTATCTCTCGATTGTAGACACGCGGCGTTTACAGATTGCTCAATTCGCCCAAAATTAATTCCCCTGAAAAAAAGTCTCATACGACCCCGAAAACATCCATTTAAGGAGAGGTTATTAAACTTGTACTTCGACACCAAACGGGGTTTTCAATTAAACTCATAATCGGTAATAACTCAAATATCTGTCATAGGTGTCACTGACAAATGTTACGGCTGTCAAAGCGCTTCGAATCGAAGCTCAATTCGTCTATTAAATGCGAATAAAAGAATGACTTTTTGTCGAGGTAACCGAGTTAAGAATTGACTGTTAGTCGGTTTTAGTTTTCGAAACGAATAGCTTGTCAGCAGACCACAGAATGACCGAACAATCGCTATGCTGCAACGTTGAACTCCGATATGACCGCCCATGCCTCTCTCTCGTTATCCCACGCTGCGAAGCGAAAGGCGTAAGGTCCTCCATCAGATCGGGCCCTACGGGCCAAAGATAAACGGCCTTTGGCCATTTATTTTAGTGTTAAACGTGAAAGTAGCACAGCGACTGCTGTAAAAATGCTCTTGAGAACCTTGCGAAAGTACACGAAAGCATGACGTCTATGCAACGTAAACTGCAAATTTCAAATCGATTTTAGAGGCGCCACGCTTCTCTTTTAATATACAAATGAATAAAGGCTGGTAGTTTCTAAAGAAACTGTTTGGTGCTGCGTCGGTGGGGGTAACGAAATAATTTGAATATATCAACAAAGTTGAAATGGTAAATTGGCCACCGTTACGGTTATAAAAGCTGACGTTTCGAGCGTTAGCCCTTCGTCGGAGCGAATAGAGGAATTGTGGGTTGTGTGTGCTTTTAAAGGCAGAAAATGGAGCTACGTGATTGGTGGGNCCACTTTTATGGAAAATGTTTTTGAAAGTTTTTACTGTAAAGATTGCGTTACGCATTACAACCAAAATTTGCCCATTTTTCCCGCCTTTAACTGTCATTTTCTGAAATGAAATGATGATATTTACCCTTTTACACTTACCTGTGAATAAAAAGGGCAGCCCTACCATTAAGCTTTAATTTGGCTTTAATGAAGGCGTATAACGAAACAAATTAATACAAGGTTTGTCCGCCACCCTAAAATAGCCATTGTTGCTTTGCTACTCATCAATCCAGTTTCTGTTTTGTAGCATTAACTTTCATGAAGTAGCCCTAACAATCGTTAAGAAAAGTGGGTGTTAAGATCGTACACAGTAGGGAGCCTGTTAAAAGCTGTTCAAAATTAATTTTTCGCGTTGTTGTTTTGAGTGTGATAGCTACTGTAATTTTTTTGTCGTGGTACTTTAAGATTGGTTTGCAACATTTACAAATGGTAAACTATGGAATGTTCCAGATCTCACTTGCATTTTTTTCTTAAACAACTACTCGCCTAAAGGCACGTATGTATTGCGCAAGCTGATACCCTGATCAACCTGTAAGACCAGGGCTGTAGCCAGACTTCAGAACAAGACGAGGCAAGTTTCGAGCGCCGAAGGCGCCTTGCCTCGTGCTAGCGGGCTACGGTCCTGAAGACATTCTGTGAATCAAAAACGAAATCAGGTCAGGAGAGTCAAAGAAATTATCGCCAATTATAGGAGCTCTTGACTGCTCAGTGAAAAAATTCTCCTAGTCATTACAAGTGGAAATGTATAAAGAACAGAATGGAGAATATGCATACTAATGCTAGGGTGTAAAGAGTTTAATAATGTTGATGTCTCACTCAGATGTGGAGAATAGTCTTGTTATTTTACACTTTCTCCACAAATATATTTACTGCCTATTTTGTGGATAATACTTGAGTGTAGTTTATGATTTTCTTCATGTCATTATGTAGAGAGCCAGTCTCTCTTTCCATTTCCTTGACTATAATGCAATAGGCATACGCACTCAAACGTATTAAGTTTTGTTTCGAACTTAAGGAACCGGTTTACGAAGCTTTAAACAGAAATACAACCCCACCCCCCCCCAAAAAAAAAACCTGTTAATTTTAAAACAAAAAGTTGACCTACCTTTCCGAAGAAGATCTGTTAAGTATCGTTTACGAAATGTTAATATTGTTGTGTTGGGCTCTGTCGCGGTATTCCTCTTGTAAATGCTATTCCCATCTATTATTACAACAACTTAAGCAAAACAACATTTTCTTTAGTTTTAAAGGTCAGTTACAGAACGAAAATTTTAGCTTGGCCCCTAGGGGATCCTATGGGATAATTTGTTTAAAAACCATAAAATTTCAATTTGCTATTTACCGCTCGGAGGTAAAAATAGAGCCAAATGATAACAACTTTTCAAAATTAAAACTTATATGACAAAAGAACCCAGCATTTTTGCATCGATATCTGGGTAGCCTGGTTACCCTGTTGACGCTGCCAACGCGGCTGTTCCCCTCACAGTTAGGAAGCCTTTTAGAATTGATTTAATGTAGTTTTCTGGTGGAAATTCATCTGTTTTGATTTTGAGACTTCCTTTACTTAATCTCAATTGTACAGGATATATGAATATTTAAAATTTTCTTATGTGTCATTGTGTCCTAGTCGGATAGGATTCTGATGGTATGAAACTCGACCACATCTCTCGACGGTTATTTTAAATTAGCCTTAACTTTTAGAGCTACACAGGTGTTATCAGATAAATGAAGATGTTAATGAAAAGAAAAGACACAGATATTTACGAGTAAGGGTAATTGAAATTGTGGTGAACCATTTAAGGCTAAATTCACGACACGAAAGCGAGTTGCCTGGCTATGACTGTCTTGAAATCGCTCATTCTAATCTCCTGTAAGGCTTTATTCAAAACCATAACAAAATTCTGGAGCGTAATTGGTCCAGCCCTATTTGAGCATTATAGTACGGATAGTACGCGTCATGTTTGTAAATGGACCGTACAATGGGATAGCAACGCGCCATGCCTGTGAAAGTGAACAGTACGCGTCAAATGCGCGCGCTGTTGTCGCGTATTATGATCATTTACCTGTTGTTGCTTTTTTTCTTTGAAAACGTATAACCGACGTCGAGTTTCTTTCTCAAATTTTGTCATAATTTGATTGGTTGGTAACGGACTTCTTTGTCCTTGATCATACTTGGGATAAACAAATCGGACTTCTGCTTCACGGTCGTCCGATTTTGTTATCACTCGTATGATTACAGACAGAATTAGACTCCACTCGGCCCTTTTACCCTTATCATTAAATGGTCTTTAACTTTCTTGCAATATGATAGGTTACCTAGAAGAGTCCTGTAGTCCAATTTGTTGATTTGTTTTGTTTTAGGGTTCTATTCTTATTGTATGGGTGAACGATACGACATGGAGCATAAAAATATTAGTCAGATTCGTGAATAATCGCACTGCTAAGAACCAATCAGATTGCAAGAATGATTTCATAATGGTTGTAATCAAGTGGTAAATAAACAAGACGTGAATGGTAGACGATAAGGAGAGCGAAATAGTCAGCTACGATAGATTAAATCTTTACAGCCTAACATCAGTATGCATATTCTCCATACTGTTCTTTATACATTTCCTAAGATGCTGTCAAGGAGAATTTGTTTAACAATCAAGAGCTTCTTTAGTTGGTGATCATTTCCTATATTCTCCTGACCTTAATGTTTGATTCAGGGGTGATATTGTAAGGAGAAATTAGATACTAGTCGCTCTCAGGGATCAAAGGGTTAAAAAAAAGAAAAAACGTTTGTTGACCCTGATTAGATGAATAGCGTCGATTATAATATCATTAGCTTCTAATTTTTTACGGCAGTTTTTCTAGATGCAGTAAATCCATCAGCTCACTACATTCTTCTTCGATAATACGAACCCTTCTATCGGGTGACTCATGTCGCCATCTCTCAACATTGGCTGTAGAATTGCGAAACGATGAAAAAGCGTGCTTCCCCTCTTGTTCAAGAGTCTCTTTGCTCGGGTTTGTTGCTTGCTTTAGCCATCTGATCATACTTTCTGATATTTCAAACCCAGCAAACTTATAAATCTTCATGGCTGTCACTAGAGGGGAAGATGCAATGTCTTTGTATAGAAGAAGCATATAGCGGTCTTTGAAATTTCCTTGGAGACTTGCCCCGAACTTGACATTCTGTAGAATCCCTTCGCATGTGCTCCGAGGCCAATAAGCAAAATTTTTTGCTTTGTCAACGTCTGGTATCCATCCTAAATTGATCCTGGAGTTTATGCTGCCTCTTGGATCGCGAACAACGTGCAAAAATTTGATGACCGTATCTGGATTGTCCTCTATTATCCTCTGAAAAATGTTGGAGAGTTTCCTTTCTGGTACGCGAACGATAGCCACCTTTATGACGCTGTGTTTGTAATTATGTAAACAGGCTTTTTGCACCACATCTGGGATTGTTCCAGGGTTTGGACAGGCTTCAGGATCATTACATATTGGTTTAGATTTGAACGGGTTCATAAATAATCCAGGTGCCCAATTTTTGGAGGAATGGGACAAAAATTTAATTGCAGTTGGGTTGTCCACGAAATTACAGGTCATCAACGCTCCTATCACCTCTGTAACGTCCTTTAAAAGATTTTTATCTGGCTCTGTTTGACTCCATTTTTTTGTTATCCATAACGGTTCGTACACTGTGAAAATATCTAGATCTTGGCTAAACATTTGTGTCAGCAGTGTCGTGCCTGAACGATCATCGCCGAAAATCACCAAGCTTCGTCGTCTTGTGTCGGGTTTCGTCGTCGGCGGAATTGCGGATGCCATCTGCGTCATTGGGACTCCTTCGTCGACCTGTTGTTGGTCGAGAACGATCGGCTGATCTTCAAAAATTTTTGATTTCTGGCTTACTAAACGATTAGTTTGAAGTATCATGTATATAAAAATAGCCCCTATAAGCAAGAGAAATAAAATTAAGAAGTGGAACAGAAGACGCCTGCGTATTAACACCATAACTTGACTCTGTGAACACCAGAAGTGGAATCTGAAAATAACAATATCAAAGGTGAAAGTGACGTCGCGGTCTTTAATTCTTTAACTCTTGTAATTAATAAGGTATTGACCAATTTTGTCAGGTCAAGATAGTTGAATATTGGCCTCGTTTTTCTTTTTGTCCTTCAATTTAGTCTTCTTTCGTCTCAGTCTACTCGAAAGCGATGGTGCCATCTTAATTGGACAAACTCTGCTAATAATACACATCTTTAAATTAGTTGACGTAACAATCTAACCAGTCAGTTAGACTGACTTATTAAGAACGTACACAGTTACAGTAAGAAAATCTATTGATATTGTAGAGTATTCCTTTGAAGAGTTTAGAGCGGACATTTTCTAGCCCTAAGGTGCTTTATTACCGGACATTTTATAAATAGTATATGTAAGATAAGAGAAAGAGGTGAAGTACTTCGTGTTCAAAGAAAAGCTTTTTTTTTCGTCCTTTTTATCACTCAGTTACGGCGATTTTTCGATAGATGGCGCGCGCGGTCTGCTTAAGTCTAACTGAAATGCTATAACGACGACTTTACGGTGGAATTTGCGTCAGTATCTTAATCATTCCACGTCGGAGTCTGACGTTTCATTTTCCAAATGAGCCTTTTTTTAATAAAATTGTTATAACGTGTCTAAATCATTCTTGCCGAGAATTTTGAATTTTAAATCTTAGTGAATTGATTCAACACTTCTTTGTAGCTGCTCCCAAGAGCTGCTTTTTTTATACGGTAACAATACTTTGGTCTAAAATAACATGTGATATCACAATTCTGTGACGAACGTACGCGATTAGATATTGCGAGTTCAAATTTTTTTAGTGTTCATACATTTAGCATTAAAAACCTTAAGAATAAATTGGTTCGCCAAAAATAACGTTCAGTTACCTTCTATAAGTTCTGGTATTCTTCCACTTAAGTTTGCTGGAGTTTTATCTTGGTTAAGTATAGTAAAGAGCAGCTCTTAACTTCAACTCGGGTAAAAAATGGCGAACTTATGATACAGGTGTTTCAGACAAATCAGGCTTCCATAGTAACGAAACCAGCCGCTAAAACCTTCATGTATATATAATGACTTTTCTATTTTTCGAAACGGAATTGTCTGTTCTTAGTCAACGTAATTGATTGAGGTTTTGGAAAACTTCACAGATGAAGAGTTTTGAAGTTTAAATATTCTGAGTTTCCTCCTAGTTTATGCATATCTGCGTTGAAAAGATGGTTCTTGGCCTTCCAGTCCAAAATCCCTGTCAAAAAGCTTTGATGCTTTTAATTTGTTTGCCATCATACTTGACTGTGTGTGAGAGCAGTAGTACAGTTTACCCCGTCAATTTGCATCAAAACATACCGATTGAAGTCGTATTAAAAATGTTCACTATTTTGGTAATTCAGTCTTTTTGTGGGTGAGTTTTATAACATAATTCAGCTTGGAGTACTCGAGATGCCATTTATTGAAAATGTTGATAATTATCGGATCAGAAAAGCTTTATTTTTCTTGTCGTGTTGACATCCTAGACCGAAATATGAATGGTCTTGAATTTGAACAATAAAGATATCGGAAAATGAAATAGAGTGGACTGGGGCCCGTTTCTCGAAAGTCCCACTAACTTAACGGGTCCGAAGCCATGTTTTAAAATCAATATTTAAAGAATAGGAAAGCAATTTCTGGCACCCAAACCAGTCCTTTTTGTTTCTTTAACTGTTAGCTTTACTGTATCATTTTCAAAATGTTTGAAATCCCCATTTTGAATGAAAACAGAACAGCTTTACGGGCCCGTTAATTTACCGGGACTTTCGAGAATCTTTTCAGATCCACACCACTATTCGTTAATGGTTTAGATTCAAAATATCTTTCGCACATGTTTCACTTTTGGGAGAAAAAAGAAAATGAAGTGAGAAAGAGAGTCAATACTCTTTAGGTGTGAGTTAATAAAAATTCAAACTGGGCGAGTTCACTCCATTATTAGTAGGGCGACCGACAGGAGCCCATTGGGCTCCTGACCGACTACAGGTTTACCACAGGGTTTCTCCACAAAACACCGTCACGTGCAATGGGGAATACCGCAGACATGTAATAATAAAGGCGCAACCTTTTTTCCACGATTTCAAAGATGGCGGATATGTCGAATCTGTTAACAATTTGTGTCATCTTTTCTACTCTCAAACGTACAGACCCACTCACCGTTCGCGGTAGACCCACTCTAAAAGGTGGCGTGTGTAATGAGCGTATATTTAGAACCGTTCGTTTCGGGAACTTTAAAAAATAGCAAAGAATCAAACGATTTAGCGAAGCTCTCTTTAGAATCAAACCAGAAAATTATCAAATGAGTTATCAGTGAACAGAAAATGTGGACAGAGTGACAGGAGAACATTTGTTGATAAATACAAGGTGCCTCGAGATTAAACTCTGGGAAACGACAACAAAGATACCATGTCGGACTTTCATCAGAGTGAGGATAAACGTAATTGTTATATTTATGTGACCTTTATCGTGATTATTAAGCTTACATTTGTTATGCTTTTGCTCAAACAGAGTATATTATCCGCTGTGATTTTTCTGTTCTTTCCATTAGTTATGTCGCTTTTGTGCGAATATTAAATTCACGTTTTTGTTATGCAGGAATGTTTTTCTGGTACCAAATAACGCGGTGTCAAATGAATGTGATGAAGTATAATTTGGACAAAGTAGCGCCATGCATAGAACAAAAGTGTGACGAATCAGCGTTGTGTGCACAACAAAATGATATTGCAAAAGAAATAAAATATGCAGAATAATTGGGATCTCAACATTCGGTGTTTGTTAATCGTTGTGATATTAACAGTGGTGAGTACCATGTACGAAGACGATTCCATCGTGAGCATAGCAGAATGCCAGTTAAAAAGACTAGAAAAGCTTTCACGTAAAAACAAATAAATAAAGAAACTGATGTGCGGGGGAATTCTTAAAAACATTCCTATCTCATCAAAAATGTATTGCTACATCAAATGCAGACTCAGAAAAAGGAGCAGTAATGACAGTATCCAGTTTGTACAAAAGATGAGAGAGAAATAGCATTACAGTCAACACTGAATAGAAAATTGTTGAGTTGTAGAGACTCTTTGAGCAAATATCTATCTTTGTAGAGCTGTAATACCTTAACAAGTGTGTACAAGAATGCGACCCGCAGAGGTCATTGTGCCACACTGAATGTGTGCAATGACATTTAAACAAATTGTGGGTCTCCTAAACATGGTATTGATCCTATTCTAACAATCAAGGTACCATTATAGTCAAGGTGATATTATGTACTTTGATGAAAATGCTGGACAACAATGTGTTGCTATGAGTTTGATTGCTCTGATTTATAATAAGATAAAAGGAGTATATACCTGGTACAAATTTTGGAGATGGGTAATCAATTGTATTCAAGACTGTCAACATGTACTGGGCAGTTGTATTTAATGCAAACAGAATTACTGTCAATGATTGCTTTGTCTGAGAAAAATTACCAGCTTAAGTAAAGTGAAAGCTACACTGGTAATCTACATTATTGTGATTCAATAATTGAGGAATATCAGTACAGTATGTCTACAGAAAGGGCTTTTGAATCACTCATATCACAAAATTACTCTTTATTTATTCCAACAATAGAATGTAAACAGTGTCAGTATCTATTGTACTGATAATGGGAGTTAAAAGATATTTGATTCTCATACAAGAGATGAATATGGTAGAAGCCATCCCTCAGGTACATGTGTACTATTAGAAGTACCATCTATTCAAGGCTTAGTACAGACACTATTTCCAGACTATAGACTACCTCGATGACAGTTATGAACTCAGAGGAGTGCAGATAAGTACATATGAAATAACTGCAGTGAACAGTTTGAGAGAAGAACACAACTACTCTTGTAAACAATGCTCTGCTGTAGGGCTTTATGCAATCTGTTACTCAGTAGCAAAGTCTTGTAGTTATTAGAATTCCATAACCCTATGTTGCATGGCTGACTGAGAAAATAAAATCATGTCATAACTGTCGAGTTATTCAAGAGACAACAACATGCTTGCGTTCATAAACTGCCATGTTTTATTCTCCCCCTCATTCCTCCAGTGCGTATGCCTAAATACCGAACAACACACGCGCATGACACATAAGATCAAAGTTCAATATCACAACAGTAACATGGGCATCAACAGGCATCTAAAAAGGGCAGATTTATACACGAGTATTAATATTTGTGGAGCTGAGATATCAGTCCAAATTAAAGCTTATAGCTTTGGGATTTTGTCCAGTGGTTTAAACAATTCAAAAAAGAAAGTTGGAAAACTTAATTTTCAATAGCTACAGAGGAAATACAGGGTTTTTTATTGTGGCTTGCAAGTTACTGTTAGGTATTACTTGTATTTTTCTAAAACAGTCAGAGCAAGTACATGTTCTCCTTGACCTATGAAGATACTTGTGAACCTGCAATATAACAAATAAAAATAAGTGGTATACCATCATGAGTACAAGGTATTTCTAACATTGTTACAAAGAAACTTAAAACGGGTATTATTCACTACGAAATGCAATTTTTGTCTTGCACATCTAACATGGACCTTCATCAAATCAGACACATGCAAAAGCACAGACGAAAATATAGTTATGATAATTTGGAACCCGCTCCAAAAATGAAAAGACTGCAACAGATATATTTTAGAAACAAAATCAAATTCAAAGTTAGACAACAGCACAAGAGGGAGACAATCCCAACTATTGATATCTGCATTAATTAATTCCAAGAGAAAATCAGGGAAGGTTTTTACTGGTATGCTGTGTATACAATGTTTTGACGATGAAATATACTTCCTTGCTTTCAGATCATTACGATTACAATTTCATAATATATCTTTTTTAACACACACATCAATCGGCATGTACTTATCACCCTTGAGAAGGGGGACTCCTTAAATAAAAAGGATTGGGGTGCTCGTTGTAGCCTTTAGGGGTTAAAAAAGGTGGGCTTGGTACCCCTTAGGCTGTTTAGCCTCAAAAAGTCCACAGCAGCAGCTCCTGTGATACCTTTTAGGGTATTGCACCAAAAATATATGACAGTGTGTTGTTGTAGAATTGGTGTCTTTCAGGGATGAAAAAAAATTTTATGCTACGCCCATAAACCAGGACCTTGGTACCTCTTAGTATTTCTTTTAGAACCTCTGCGCACCACGAATGGGCAACACTCATAACAGCACGTCTACCTATAGCCCGACTCAAGATCTTGGATCGTTTTGTTTTATGTTTCAACAGGATGTTTCAAAAGGATGTTTCAAAAGGATGTTTCAACAGGATGTTTTATGTTTCAACAGGATCGGTCGGATCGGCAGACGACTGTACTTGATTTGACCGCGCAAAACTGGGCCGAATATATCTAAAAAAACCAGGTTACATATGCAACATCTGCCTTAGTCGTTTTTTGTCACATGAGTCGAAATGAGTCATTTCTAGGAAAACTTTATTTTTAAACCTTTAAAAATCAGTAATGCCTTACGTGGCGAGCAACAATCTAGGCTACTATTCTGTAGTGTACAGTTTGAGCCTTTTTATCCTGATTTGTGTCGGTAAGCTGCTGATTTTTGTGGGCACTGGTGTCCTTGCGAAACATCCAAGATGGCGGCCTAATTATGTTATTTAATTTCCTACAGGATTGTACTACAATCTCTCCGGTCTTGGAACAAGATTTGATATAGGATGGTAAGTTGTTGGAAAGTTTCCTTTCTGATTCAAATTTCATGATGCTTCAAGTTGCAGAAATTTGTGACTCGCATTTGTCTGCGAAAGTACATGTAGCACTTTGAATTGGTGACACAGTAATTTGGTTGCATCGTTAACCCCTAGAATTCATACGTATATTTAGTAACAGGAGTCAGAACTAATCTGAAACTTAATTTAACGATGTAACAAAGTGAATTAAAGATCATGTTCTGATAACGTTCCTTTTAGTTTCATACAGTTCGGTTTCTATTTTTGTAATCAGGCAAAACTGCAAATTGCATAGTCACCAGTTTACATTCTGTTTACTCACAGTTTTTACATATATATCGTCCCATTCATTATTCTTCAAAGCACACTTAAAAAGCAATCCATAGTACCCTGTGTTTTGTAAAGGCTGTGGGAATCAATCAATGCTATACACAAATAATATGCAGATTACAGTTTGCCTAATCTATCATTTGCTTGCCAAACTCAATTGAATTTAAAGAAAGGGTTAAGTTGCATTGGATTGTTCCTGGTATGAAATCCAGGCTTGGGACAAAGAAAGAAACATAGTCTTCAATTTGAAGAATTTGCCATTTACCAGGTTTTTGGAGGAGACATCCCCATTCATGTGGGCATCTCTTGGTATAGGACTGGCAATTTCCCTGTCTGTGGTTGGTGCCGCATGGTAAGCTCTTTTTGTACTACCAGAAGTGATTAGAACATAGCTAGCAGAGTCACGCAATCAAATTCATTATACGCAAGCATGCTCAAAATTTCGATAGTGCACGCTGATAGCGTCAGCAAATCCGACTTCGCCAGAAATTTTTTTTTTTTCGCGCAAGAGGCCATTGTTAGCGCGGGGAAAAATAATATATTTCGTGACAATAATGGATACAAACAGAAACTCGGCCAACTAGTCCGAAAACAAAGACGATGTTTGGACCTTTTCCCTTGGGCTAGAGTTCTTAAATGAGGCAGAAAAAGAGAAAAACAAAGGAAAAGGAGACTCGGCATCAGCGCTGTCACGATTCGCTTCAACTGATATTGTGGTCCGTTTTTTGTGTCGGATTTGATGCACAATTCCACCAGCTATGTTTTAAAACAATTGGTTCATGCTTTCAGCTGTGCACTATCGAGTTATGGAGCACGTGGGAAGTTTGGAGAGCACTCAAAGAAGCTAGAGTTGCCCTCGGCTATCGCTTCAGGCAACTCTTACGCTTCTTTCATGCTCTCCAAACTTCCCGCGTGCTCCATAACTCGATAGTGCATGCTAAAGCATGAACCAATTGTTAATTAACATGCAACTACACCTCACAACTTCAATACATTACCTTGCTAACAGATAAAGAAGAGAGACAAACCCATCAGTTAGGGGCTGTCATCTTGATAAAGCATTAAATTCTCTTAACTAATCAAAGACAGATGAGTAACATTTAGGGGGAAGATTATTCTCAGGAGTCACAGATTAATCACTCAAAAAGCAGAAACTTTCCATGAGTAAAAGGTTAGAATCATCCTTAAAGTTAAGGTTACTTCCTACCCTCGCGGGTGTCCTTGGGGAAAAAATTCGTACATGCGCTAGTTTGAAGAAAACCCTAACAAACTATACATTAAAACAAAGCTTAATAAATGCAGTTTATGTTGAAAATATAGTTTAGGTGAATTTTTCATTTAGGAAGTGTCAGGAGCCGGTAAGGCATGAAATGACCAAGGGTCCTTCTATTGAATTTATTGGGTATCAGATCCTGCGGCACGAGAAAAATGGCTGCACAGTCTCATTCAGAAGGCTTCATTCAACAAAAGTGTGTCAGGCTTTCTCGATATTCTGATTGGTTGTCTAGATATTCACATCTAAAGTTAGAGTAGCAAAAAATATGCGAAGTGTGTTGCATAAATGGACACCATGTAAAAAATATTTCACATATCAAAATTTCCTGACACTCTTTTGTTCGTCGTCATTCCAGGATTGTTTTGGCGAAATTTCACAAAATCAGTCAAATCTACATACCCTGTAAATTCGCGTAAAATGATGTATTCCTCTCAAAATCAAATGCGAGACTTTAGCTCCTAAAGGTTTGTAAACAACTAGCACCACACCAGGAGATTATCTCACCTCCTGAAACCGCAAACCAATGAGAAGACGAGGCCTCCTGGCATCAATGACAATGGATAAAGATTTTCCTGGGAAAAGTATCGTGTAGCAGTCACGTTTTTTTATCTTGCTCTGTTGCTCGTTTAGTAATGGACAAAGTGAAGTAAAAACTTGTGGCAGAAAGGGTAAATCTGTCGCATTCTTCTTTTTCTCCATCGGTCTCGTCAGATTCCGATGAAGAATCTTGTTTACAACCTTCTGTGGTGTTGACTTTAATTTTTAAGCTGCGAGCCCCAAGGATAATCAAATGCTGCCAATCTTCAGTAGATGCTGAGCTTGTCGAAGGCTCTTGGCCAAACCAGGAGCCCTTGTTGCTTTTAGCAAGGACTGTTTTTTTTTGACAAAATGTTGCCATTTCTCTCTTCTTTGGGCCTGTTATTTTTTTTTTTTCTTTGCCCAAGGACTCCTCTCTAATTTTGAGTTATGTATTTTATCCATGAGAAAAGACTTTCCACAAGCAGATAACTCCCATGTGTGAGTTTTGTCAAGTGCGCGATGTAAACAAAATATGCAAACGACATGAAATTGCCAGGAACATTTCCCTGGGGGGTTCGCCCATTTACGAGATTATGGCACCTTCCTGATTTATTAACTTTTGTTTGAAAATACGTTTTTCTGAATGAGTCGGACACTTTTTGAGTTTTTTAAATTTTTTCTTCTGTAAACGTTAGTTGAAACGTCTAACTTCAATCTAGTCCAAAAAAAAAAAAAAAAAGCTCCTTTGGCTACTACACACTCTTTCCACTGCTTTGTGTAAATTCATGTATAATTAGAACTCACTGTTTTCATTTTTTCTTTTTTTTTACCCAAGGACTCCTCTCTAATTTTGAGTTATGTATTTTATCCATGAGAAAAGACTTTCCACAAGCAGATAACTCCCATGTGTGAGTTTTGTCAAGTGCGCGATGTAAACAAAATATGCAAACGACTTGAAATTGCCAGGAACATTCCCCCGGGGGGTTCGCCCATTTACGAGATTATGACACCTTCCTGATTTATTAACTTTTATTTGAAAATACGTTTTCCTAAATGAGTCAGACGCTTTTTGAGATTTATAAATTTTTTTTTCTGTAAATGTTAGTTAAAATGTCTAACTTCAATCCAGTCCAAAAAAAAAAAAAAGATTTTTTCGGCCTCTAAAGGTAGGAAGTAACCTTAAGTTATCACTAGTTTGGCTAAACAGCTGTCTCTAGGAGGTACAAAATTTTCCAAATCAAACACTATTCATAAGAAGCACTGCTTGTTATTACTAGTAGAATGGTGACACAGCAAGGTTTGTTTTAAAAATTAAAGCTCACTGAACAGTGCAAGCAATATAGAAATGAAACTAATCAATAGTTGACTGCTTCAGTCTAGTTAATCACCTTAATTACCTTGTTCTGTATTTGTTTTTTCAAGGGGAATTCTCATCACAGGTTCAAGTATTTGTGGAGGAGGTGTTAAAGCACCAAGAATCAAAACCAAGAACCTTATCAGGTAAAATGTCATGTCATTCATTATGCAGAGGATTTTGGCATAGGGCAGATATCAATTTGTTGCACAATTAGCAGCTCACATTTGCACATGTATTTTTCACATCACCATCTGCACCCATGCCTGTAAGAATCTGTTGACAGGCTTCATTAAATATTCTACTTGGGACACAAAAAGTAATGGTCGTCAATTTATGCTAATATCTCTCCTAAGATTTTGAAGCAAGAAAATAAATTCTAATCCACAAGCAGACTTGTCATATTGAGATCAAGGCCCCTTGAGGGACTTTGGTTGACCAGTCCCAGTTTTTATTCAGATGCCAGTATTAGCAAAGATAGGAGTTGAAAAGGGTTAATTTAATTCCTTATGAGAATTTTTATTATTTTGACTATAAAATGTAGATGTTGAATGCTATTAGAAAAGTGTATTTTTGTATCTGGTGATAATATATCATGAAAAGTAAGCCTTTACCATTCTCCCTTTGTAGTATTATCTTCTGTGAGGCCGTTGCAATTTATGGAATCATCATGTCAATTGTTATGTCTAACTACATTTCGGTAAGGAAAAAGTGATGCCATAACACTTTCTAAAACAAGGTTTTGAAATTGTTACTGATTTGCTCATTTGGTAGTTCATTTGTGTGGGGACTGGGCTAATCCCAAGGGAACTAGAGGCATTTAAATATGCCCTTTGGTGTGTAAAGATTAGATAATCGTGTAACCACCAGGAGAAGAGTGTACCAGAATTTGACTTTTGTGAAAGGAGTGCAAACAGTAAACTCTTCCATTTCCTGTGTTGATGCCTAGGGTTCGAATTCTTTACCTTTGATCATGAGTTCAAAACAGTTGCAGTTTAAAATCAAAGCAACAGGTTAAGTTCAAATTGACAGTCATGATAAGCCATAAGTAATTGTTCATGTAACCAGTGCAGTTCTCTAACAACTAACCCGAGAGCATTAGACCAGTATGACAGAATGCAGATGACTTTGAATCCTGTTCAAGTCTGAATTGTTTCAGGGTCTATTTCACAATTACCAATGCTGTGAGTTGTGTACATAACTGTGATGCCTTTCCTCTGGAAGAACATATACCCTTTATATATAACTAATTCTGACTGCTCAAAATTGTGCTTGATTAAAAGGGGAAATATTTAGTTTCTATCTTTCTTATCTTTCACAATACAGGATGTGTTACTTGAGTGGAATAAAGTCTTTGTCTTTTCTACTGATTGCAGGCTGTAGATATCACTGGCTTCAAAACCCAAGAGGCAATACAAAAAATTCATACAACAGGTGATTTTATGTAAACTTTCATGATATTCAGTTTTGGTTGCAAATGGAAATTTGGTAGCTGGGCAGTTCATCTGAAGAGACACAATTTCCAAAAGAAAGCATCCACCAAAAATTGAATTTTTTGGAGGTGGAAGAATTTCAGCTCTCGTTATAGAGAGTGTTTGGTTTGGTTTGAAACTGATCTCTTTGTTTGTAAATACTTTTCCAGGATTTCTGGTTTTTGCTGCTGGGTTGACAGTTGGATTTTCAAATCTTTTCTGTGGTATTTGTGTGGGTATTGTTGGAAGGTAAGTGATGAATGGGAATACTGAACTTGTTGTCTGGGAAAGTGAGGGGTTCCTAGAAATTTTAGGTGCTTGATTTTCAAAGGAAAGTATTGATTGAAAATAAGAATTTTGGAACAAGTTGAAGGAGGTGCACTTAAGCATTTTTCCTGAAAGAAGAATTGATGTGAGCAACAACAATGGCTGTTTTTTTTTTTTTTTTTTATGAAACTTTGGTTGAGACATTTGTTTTTTCTTATTTCTGTTTCAGTGGTGCCGCTCTTGCTGATGCCCAGAATTCATCTCTCTTTGTCAAGGTATGATAAGTTTATACCCCATGTTTGATTGCCTCTAGATTTGGTGATAGTCACTGTATGATATTGATAGCAATCTAAATGATTAAAAGTAAAGAACTTATCTTTTTCAATTAGCCAAGGGCCATGTTCTGAGAAAATTTTTGCTCATCCTTTCCTCAGACTATGTTTACCAAAGGAAAAAAAAAACTCTTAGTTGGCTTTGTGTTTTAGGTTTTGATAGTGGAGATCTTTGGAAGTGCTATTGGGTTATTTGGGGTCATCATAGCCATTATACAGGTAAATGCAGGGCTTCACACTAACAGTAGCCCACTAGCCACAGACTAGTAGAAATTCAGTTTTGGCAAGTGATTTTCAATTTCACTAGCCAGTTTGGCTTGTAAACAAACTGAAATTGTTGTAAAATCTAAGTTGTCACCAGCTGCTTGGCTAGTAAGTTGAAAAGTTAGTGATGAGTCCTGAAATGAATGTAAACATATAAGAAAAAGTCTACTCAACTAACAAAGTAAGCATACTAGTACATGTTTGCCCAGCTCTCTAGCACAGGAAGGATAAAAATCCAAACCTTTGCTGACTTTGTTGGACCTCCAATGTTAATATTATTAATGTTATATAGGAGTAATAACTTACATGACCTTGTAAGAATATTTTTCCCCCATTTTGATTTGAAACTGTACAGATTTTCATGAGATAACTTTCCAAAAGTGTGTGTTGCACATACTTAGAACTTATGTAGAACATCAGATGGTAATACTGCAGTCATGGGAAGAGAGGTTCATCTGTCTATCATACACATATAATCACTTTAGCTCTGAGAATTTGGTGGTAAATCAAACAATATTCTCCAAACAATATTTTCCCTTTTCTTTGTCACCTTTCTGCTTGAAAATGTTTAGTGATAATGTAAGGAGAAACCCCCTTTTGGTCATTCTTTTGGTATAAGATATAAATGGGGGGGTGTGGGGGGGTAGTGAATTAAAGCACTGATTGCAAGTCACATCCATTCATATTAATGGCCATTCTTTCCTTTTTCCAATATTTTTTACTCTTTAGACCAGTAAAGCAACGCCAATGGGATCTATCAAGGATTAATATATTGATGTGAGAGTCAAATTTGTCAAATAGCTTAAGATCCCATTTGTTAGTTAATATTGATAACATTAATTTTGGTCAGGCATTTGACTCTTAGAAATAGGTTGCATATGGCTGTCATGAAAAATTATTTTTTTAAATGTCATCATGATTACTTTACAATTTTGTCTGATAACATGGACAACTATGTTGGTATGCTCATTCTTAGTTCAATATTACTCTTTCCCTGATAATGATGATGATGATGTATTATTCCCATAGCATAACTGTTATCATTTAATTTGTTTACATTCAATGAAGTGCTAGTTTAAGTTTCAGTGTATTGATGATGTTTGTCATGTACATGTTTATAATTTGTGCCTGTGTACAGAAAAATGGAATTAAACTAAAGAGGTAATGAGACAGTTTCATGGGTAACAAATTTTATAACCACCTACTGCTTATGTGCATTTATAATTATAGGTGATCTGGAATTCTTGATTGAGTAATCAAAATTCTTGACTTCCCTTGAGAGGGTAGGGGAGTGTTTATTAGGCATGGAATATTGGTGATATGTGCATTAAAATATTTATCATAATAATATTTCTAATTATCTCTGCAGTAATATTTGAGATATTATTCTAGTGTCATAATATGGATATATCAACAAAGTTGAAAAGGTAAATTGGCCACCGTAACGATTACAAAAGCTGACGTTTCGAGCGTTCGCCCTTCGTCGGAGCCATGGTAACTCAACTATTCCAGTGTCGGTCAACTAAATGAAGTAAACTGATGAAACAAAATCTCAGTTATTACATTCTTGTTTTAATCCTTGGCTTGAAAGAAGGTAACTCACAAATACAAGTAAAAATGATAAATCCAATACTGATCTTTAAAATGTTCAATTCTGTTAGACATGGCGCAGGCCTTTACATATTGGGCCATTGTCAGTACACACAATAAGTTCACCTTTTTTCCATGGTAACTCAACTATTCAAATGAAAACATAGCTAAATATTGGATTCTCGGCTTCCCCCAATGGATACTGTGAATGTGTTTGTTAGTTTTAAATCTGGCCCTATGGTTGGATAAGAAATAATTACATGAAAGAATAGCCTTAGTTCACTGTCAAGATACATTACAGAAACAGGAGTGGGTGGTCATTTCAAGTGCTTAAGCGCTCAATGACAATTAAAGTATACTTTGTGAGCACCAGTGTTGGCTAACACTTGTTCTACGGTCATATGTTCAAGCTTAACCGAGCACAAATAAGATATTGATTCTAAGTTGTCTTTGTTGCAAAGTAATCAGCAGTTAATGACTTCAAATTATTTACATTTACATTGTAGCACAGCTTCGGTGGAAGCCATGTAGAATATTCATACTCTTGTTAGAGTATTAACACACAAACGAGATAAAGGGAACGAGTGGTCAGTTTAAGGATTACAAAAATCTGCGATCAGCTGCCGTGTTAGGTTTAAGAGTTATTTACCTACTAAATAAAAGCAAAAGAGCTTCAAAACCAACATCATGTGTTTATCTTGAGATCCAAATATAAATTTGACCTTTGATAAAAGGTAGATGTGTAAGTAAAACCACACTTACGTTCTCAAAAGCTCTTTAGAACTGATGGAGGTGCATTTGATTGAATCTACCTTTTAACTGTTATTTCATAGAGATACAATAGTTATTTACCAGTTGATTGTTTACAAATTGTAGTTTGTGATTATTCTACGGGGACCCAGTTAAGCCACTTCATTAATTCCCAAAACGAAATCTTTCCATTCTTGTGTTGATCCAGGTATTCGAAAAACCTCTCCACGTCGACTGCTTTATAACCTAGCGAGTCAAGCAGATCTTTGAACTCGTCCTTGCTCAAGTTATTACTATTGTCTTTGTCATAAGTTTTAAACAATTCCACGGCTTTACAGAGATTCTTGAACCTGGCTTTATCGTTGATAACCTGAAAACGCTCTCCGCTACGAAGCCAATCGAGAAATTCTTCGAAAGAAATGCTTTGATCTCCGTCTTTATCCAGCAGTAAAGAGTAAGCATTGGCTTCCTCTTTTACAAATCCCAAATCTTTTTGTAAAAGATCATTTAGCTCGCTGCAATTCAGTCGTCCGCTTCCGTCTTTGTCATACTTGTCGAAGAGGCTTCGAATAACGATTGATGGAGTGTTGTCATTGAAATAACTGTTGCCCGCTTGCATTGTCAATCGACGAGCAATCTGTGAGTGAGAGGTACCTCAGTCGTGAAATGGGAAAGGAAGACTGTTCTCTTGAATCGATTAGTGCTTTAAAATCGAATGCAGGTGGCTTTTATGCTGATTTTTTATTCCGTAATGACAAAAATAAACTACATGACGTCACGTCGCGCTCTCCGCATGACACGGCATTTTGTTTCCTAGACGTGCAGTGAATTAAAAGCTTAGAATCAAGAATTATCCTCTTTAAACATATTTAATAATTTCTTCTAAAATTGAACAGGTGATTATATTCGTTTTCGTCGAAAAACTAATGGTACTATATGCTCCTGCCTGATGTCCTCATTGAACTTTGATTTGATGATTACGGGGGCGTAATCTAACGCGCTTTAACGACCGTGGGTTCTTTTACGTCTATAAATTAATGCCAAAAAGAATTGTTTGTACAGCTGAACGTTTGAGGCTTATTTTATTTTTTATTTTTTTTTCTCAAGGCAATTTTTCAAACATCTTAAGAATTTAAGGAGTGTATGCTTCGGGCAAATCGTGTTATTTTTGGATTAATTTGCATCTAAAGGGTTAAAAAAAGAGAGTAAGAGATTTTTCCTGTTACAACCTCCCACTTCCATGCAGAAGGAAGATTCCGCGGAAATGGCCCTTGGGGTGGCGAAGGTCATTGCTATCCCAAGGAAATTTCTTCCTCCCCCCCTCCCCTCCCCTCCCCCTCCCCACTCCGTCTCCTAACTCTTCTTTAAACAGTGAAAACTCACCAAGCTGTTGACCAATTTTTGGTCAGAAAATTATTTATTCAACACCCAAATTGTCTTACATTTTGTACTAGCATAAATCTTCCCTGATTAACAAGAGCGTTGCGGCGTGCTATTAGATAAAGATCACCGTTCTTCTACCATGATTTTCCCTACTTGATAGCTTCAGTCGAAATTGTCCGATTTGGTAATACGCGCAAGGCAAGCGCGAGTTCCTCGTTAGACACGCAAAGTTCGATAGGTTGCGCACTTGTTAACGCGTCAACCACAAACTACTCAATTGGTGCCCAGTTCAACCACATCATGAATTCCCAAAAGGAGATTTTTCCATTGTTATGTCTGTCCATCATGGCAAAAGCCTCGTCCATGTCTTGGTTGCGGTAGCCGAGATATTTCATCATCGCTTCAAACTGTTGCCTGTCCAAAGTACCGCTGTTATCAGTGTCAAACGTTTTGAAATGCTCAAAGGCCGTGCAAACACGTTCAAACTTGGGATGGTTGTCCAGTCGCTGGAATCTCTCCCCGCTTCGTAGCCAGTCTTTGAACTCTTCATATGACACATTCAGGTCTCCATCTTTGTCGAGGAGGAAAAAGTAAATTTGCGACTGCTCCAGGTCCATTCCCATCGTTTCCTCTAGGAAAAATTTCATTTCTTTCTCGTCGAGCTTCCCATCTCTTTTGGTGTCGTACTTGTCGAATAGACTATGAATAGCGATCGATGGTACACGTCTGTCAAAATAACTGAAACCAGCAGCCATCTGAAAATTAGATGTATCGACTCTCGTAAAACTATGTAAGTTTCGTACACTTAGGTTCCCTGTTAGCTTTTCTGGGGAAACCTAGGATTGCGTTCCCCTTTTATAGCCGTGGTCAGCGTGCAATATGTCAGTTAAGAAGGATTGCGGAAGGGGAAAATTACCCGATTACCAGAAACAAATCGATTAGGCGTGTTTGTTTAAGCCATGTGATCAAGTTAAGACGTCATTTGACCTTTAGTCCACGGGAGAGGGGAACATGTAACAACTAAATTTAGCGGAAATTTCTTGGAATTGTTTGTTTTATCTCGTTCAAATAATTAGTGGTCTGATTCCTTTGAGACAATATTTTCCAAGTTAATTTCACATTATTCAAATTGATACAGTAAAAGATGACTTATATAACTAGGTGAAGAAGATAATGAGAAGTAGATATCATGCAGGTTTGTATATGTGTGCACAGTGACCAAAGTAGCCGTGGCTTTCGTGTTGGTCACTGTCCCATTTAACTAAATAGAGAGGTCCAAGATACAAGTGTGAATACTAGACTTATTGAAAGTGCTCAACAAACATCCACTTGGGCATATGGGCGTAGGGGAAGTTGATGACTTCTTTGTTACGAGGAAAATTAATTTCCGTTTCGCCAATCGAGAAGGATGTTTACTATTTCATTGTGCTGGTGTGTGTGAAGTTACTTCGGATTCAGTTGAAAATGTCAATTTCGCTGCGGAAAACACTGCTTTTGAGATAGCTGTATTTTCCATTCACTCAATTGCGAAATAGGGTACCCTAGAAAGAAATAAGGTGACCATGGAGCAAGCTAGAAGGAAAGAGAGAGAAAGCTGCTCAGATGGTAGTTGTTCTGCAGTAAGAAACGATGGGGTGGACAAAAGTCGTCAAATCATATTGTTTAGTTGATGCATACGTCACACATTAGGTGTGAAAAGCTGAAACTTTTCAACAGCGGAAATGACGTCACGTCTAGACAACAAGCGGAGCTTATTCCCGTCACGATTCAATCCTGTGACCTTCCGTCCACTCCTCAGTGTATCATTCTTAGCCGAGGAAGAGGAGGGGGGGGGGGGTAATGGGGAAAGTGTTTCAACTTAAAACTGTCCAACTTTCCTTCATGTTCTCTCTTCAGAAAACGTTGAGTCAACAAAGACTCAAAGAGGACTTAATGAGGACTAGTGACGGTTTTTTCTTCAATTTTGTGAAAAAAACTCGAGCAACATCGGTACTTTATGGCCGAAAAGGTGATTTTTTTCTTCACAGACTATTATGGGGACAGTCCCCCCCCCCTTTTGGAATGTAGATATGACAACAAATAGAAAGGCAGGGAGGAGAAGACTAATTATATGTAATGAATCGTGAAAATCGTGGCTCTCTCAGGGTTTTTTGAAACTAAATTAGAAGTGATATTTTTTGAAACTAAAT